GCACTTTACAAACAGCTCATTCATCCTCCTGACCCCTTTCTGAGGTCGGTAGGGATTGTTCTAACCATCCCCCGTTTACAGATGAGCAAGCCAGAGCGCAGAAAGGTTGAGAAACTTGGCCGAGGTCAAGCAGGATTAGAACTCAGGCGCCTGGCTTCTGAGTCTGTGGTCTTCGACACTGCTCCACCACTGCCTCTCACAGCCCTTCTCCCCACAGGACCCAAGAACCTGGAGAAGAGAAGGTCCCTTGCAATCACCCGCAACTATTCACCATATAATTAATGATTCTCTTATCTCTTGGGTATGAAGGAGACACACCACGACTGTGAGGCTGGTTATTCTAGATCTGCATGCTCTTCTCCTGGAAATAAAGGCTGAATAGACCACAACTAAGGTGGTGATCTCTAAATTTTGCATAGGAAGGAGAACTCGGGAGCAGTAGAAAACTGCTGGCCCAAGTGTGTTGATGTCCCTAACTATTTTCCACACTGTTTATTTTTAAAATATCTAAAGCAGGGTCTGCCTGGAGAAAGGGGACCAGGCCTGGTCATCATGGGTCCCCAGCAAGATCCACGGCCAGAGCAACCTCAGAGGAGACCTACCGAGCAAACCCCAAGGGGGAGAGCCCGATACTGGACTCACCCAGAGAGCAGGGGGTCAGGGGTCATCTGGTCCAGCAGTCCTCTCTTTAAAGAAACAGGAATCCAGGACTAGACAGGGGAAATGACTTAGGCAAGGTCACACAGCAGACTGATGAGATCAGAACTTCAGGGTCCCTGGTCACTCCTCAAGGCCCTGACATGGACAGGATGCTTCCCTTAGGCCTGGTCTGGACCCCAGAGTAACAAGGAGAGGGTGTGGGGATGGATCAAGGGAACGCTTCCAGCTCCCAAGACTGAGCTCCTTAATGATGAGAGCCCCCTGGGTCTGATTCTTTGCTGGATCCCTAAAGCCCTGCACAGAGCTGGGCTCACACTAGTTGTTCACAGAACATCTTCAGAACTGACTGAATGAGTGACCCAACATGTGGTGAGAGTGGATGGCAGAGGGCCTGTTCCCGTACCCTAGGAGGACGGGGGCATCCTCAACCAGAGTGGGAGCTGCTGATGGTTCGGAAGACTGCACACTGCTCACTGCGGTTTTGTGGCTGGAGCCGGCTGGGCCCCTGCTGCTGGGACCCTCAGAGCTCTCATCTGTGGGCACAAAGTGAGGGCCAGCACCAGCTTTCTCTTCTGATAGGAAACCCCTTCTGACCTACCTGTTTTCACGGTGGATTCAGGATGAGCCAGCAGGCCCCCAGGAAAGCCAGGCCCTGATGACTGCAGACAGAGCTGCCAGCACTCTGCACCCCTAGTGATCCCAGCTCCCCAAGTCCCATCACAGCGGTGATGGCAGCTGTCACTTTTTATCAGAGCTGCTTCTGTATCGGGGTCTTTGCTCTCTGTTCTATGTATATGATCTCGTGTAACCTCTCACCATTCATAAGGGTGGGAAATCAGTCCTGAACATTCATTGGAAGGACTGATGCTGAAGCTGAAACTCCAATACTTTGGCCACCTGATGGGAAGAACTGGCTCATTTGAAAAGACCCTGATGCTGGGAAAGAGTGAAGGTGGGAGGAGAAGGCGACAACAGAGGATGAGATGGTTGGATGACATCACCGACTCAATGGGCATGAGTCTGAGCAAGCTCCGGGAGTTGGTGATGGACAGGGAAGCCTGGCGTGCTGCAGTCCATGATCCCCAAGTCCCATCACAGCGGTGATGGCAGCTGTCACTTTTTATCAGAGCTGCTTCTGTATCGGGGTCTTTGCTCTCTGTTCTATGTATATGATGTCATGTAACCTCTCACCATTCACAAGGGTGGGAAATCAGTCCTGAACATTCATTGGAAGGACTGATGCTGAAGCTGAAACTCCAATACTTTGGCCACCTGATGGGAAGAACTCACTCATTTGAAAAGACCCTGATGCTGGGAAAGAGTGAAGGTGGGAGGAGAAGGCGACAACAGAGGATGAGATGGTTGGATGACATCACCGACTCAAGGGGCATGAGTCTGAGCAAGCTCCGGGAGTTGGTGATGGACAGGGAAGCCTGGCGTGCTGCAGTCCATGGACTCGCAAAGAGTCGGACACTACTGAGCTGAACTGAACTGAACTGAAAGCACCATTGCACAGATGATGGAAGTGAGGCCCAGAGACATCGCAAGCACCCTGTCCAAGGTCACACAGCCAGAGGACAGAGAAAGGGCTGAATGCAGTTCTGTCAGACCCAAGAGCCCCAACTCTGGACCTCTCAGCCTTGGACATGACACTGGGGGCAGGGACCCGTGACCCAGCCCCAGGACCCAGGACGACCCAGCCAGGCCCGGGCAGACCCTCTGTCCCGAGGAGGCCAGGAACTGGCACAGGAACTGCCCAAGCCCCCGTGAGCCTCGCCATCTCAGCGCCTCAGCAGAGGAGACCCCAGGGCCCCCCAAGAGCCTCGGCATCTCAGCAGGGGAAGTGCCTGGGGAGAGGAGACCCCAGGGGCCCCCGAGAGCCTCACCATCTCAGCAGGGGAAGCGCCTCGGCAGAGGAGACCCCAGGGCCTCCCAAGAGCCTCGCCATCTTAGCAGGGGAAGCACCTGGGGAGAGGAGATCCCAGGGACCCCCAAGAGCCTCGCCATCTCAGCAGGGGAAGCTCCTCGGCAGAGGAGACCCCAGGGCCTCCGGAGTATCATATCCAAGGCAGACCACTGGTTCAGTCCTCGTGAGTCTCACTGCTCAACTGGCCCAGGATTGGGCTGCCTGGTAGATTGGAAATGGGAGCCAGGAGACCTGGTTCTAGTCACAGCATGGCCATTTTTAAAGTTCTGAAACCTTGGTCTCTTCGAGGAGCTTTGACTTTCTCACTGAGAAAGTACCAACAGAGGCCTAGGGCCTCCCTGCATTTTTGTAACCTTGAAGTTAGCTGAGATTATCTAGAACTGCGGGAGGGGAGGGACATGGATGACTTGGATCTTCCAAGTCCAGCTCTCAGCCCCTTCTCTGGCTCCAGCTCTGGGTCTGTGTATCAGTCAGCTATTGCCATGATAATGCTACAAAACAAAGACCCCCAAATTCAGTGACTTAGAGCAGTAGGCATTTAGTCACACATTTGTGACCTGCAGGTCAGCTGTGGTTCTCTGAACTTAGGATAGGCTCAGCTGTGTGCTGTTTCAGACTGCAGGTTGGGCTCAGGTCACTCCACATAAAGTCATTCTATAACTGCTGCTGAAGAGCAGCAGTCTCCCAAGGGAACCTCTTCTTACAGACACCACCAGAGTGCAAGGGAGCAGGTCAGTCCACGGAAGCACATCTCCAGCTTCTGTTCTGCCATGTCTGCTGATTTTTCTTGCTTAGAAGTGAGTCACATGGCCAAGCCCAACTTCAGTGTAGGGAGTGCCCCCACTGTACAGTGGGAGGGTCTGTGTGTGTGCATGCATTCAGTAGTGTCCAACTCTTTGCAAACCCATGGACTGTAGCCTGCCAGGCTCATCTGTCCATGGAATTTTCCAGGCAAGAATACTGGAGTGGGTTGCCATTTCCTTCTCCAGGGGATCTTCCCAATCCAGGGATAGAACTCATGTCTCCTGCCTTGGCAGGCGGGTCCCTTACCAGCTGAACCACTGGGGAAGCCCCCAGTAGGAGGGGAAAGTGATAAATATTTGCTGGATAATAAGCCAGTCTATCATGGCTGGAAGACCCCCAAGTTAAATTCACAAGTAGAGAGAGGCTCACTTTGGCCGCTGCTGGCTCCAGGGCCCTTGGGCTCAGGGTTCAAGGGCAGAGTAAAAAGGCGGCAGGGGCTGGGAGGGGGCTGCAGGGGAGGCCTGAACACGCGGTGCTGTTTTCAGAGCGCAGTCCTGGGCCAGCACAGGTGTCTCTGTTCTCCACCTGCACACTCTCCCTGGCCCCTTCAGAGGCCCTGGCAGGCCTGGGCCCTCCCTCACCGTCCTGTCCCCACCCCACGCCTCCTCCTTGTGGCTGGCTTCCTTGGAGCACAGAACAAAAACAAGGCCTCACACCACACCCGACTGGCTGGCATTTCAGTTCACAGACACTTCATCCTGAGAAGCCGATCTAATTTCCACCCTGTGAAAAAAACAGCCGTCTCGCACCCAGGCAGCCCGCACCATGAGACAACCAGCGGCTTCCATGGTGGGGTAAAGGCGGGCAGAAATTTGGATCAGGACCAGCGGCAGGCACACAGAGGCCGACTGGGGTGGAACAATCCCTCTTCTTGCTGTGGAAGGAGTCTGGTGGGGGAGAGCTGTGGGCAGGCAGGTGGAAAGGCCACGATCCCATGGGCAGGGCCAGGCTGGTCTGTAAGGCAGGAGTAACATCCTTTCTTTGGACCTTAGTTCCCTCATCTGTGCGTCCTGGAAGGCCCTTTCTAGCTCTTAAGTCCTACAGTTCTCAGTGGCTCTACCTTTGTTCAAAGATGGATTTTTGTAACATCAATGTACAAATCAAATTCCCAAGCTGTATCCTTCCTTCCCTTTCTCTGACCCTAGACATAATAGGACTGGAGTCGGTGTTCTTCTCCCCTCTGTTCCCAGGCAGGTCTTCTCTGCAGCCACCTGGCTGCCGGGGCTGGCGGTGCCGTTCTGGAGTCCGACACAGGTGACAGGTGGGGCAGGTGGGGTCCTTATTCCCCAAAAGGCACCCTTCACGGGGGCTGGCTCCAGAGGGCTCAGCCAGCCAGGGCCCTGGGGGTGGAAAAGGCTTTTCAAGGAGAAGGTCACTCCATTCCCAGACCAAGTGTCCCTGATAATCCCCAGGGAGCGCCATGTGGTCCCTCTGAGCGCCCAAAGCCAGGGCTGCTGAATGCACAGCTGGGAGAAACCCCAGGAGGCAGGGCTATGAGCCCGACTAGCTGGGAGACTTCATCTCTAGGGAGGGCTAGAGCCACCTCCAGAGACTAGCAGGCCTCACTCACAGCCCCCCCTGCCCCCACCCAGTGCCCTTGGGACAAAGCGGACAGAATGAGTAACAACATGAAAGGGGGCTCCAGTGCCATCAAGTCTCAGCTGCACTCTTGGCTGCCCATCCTCTGAGGCCTCGTAAATGTCAGCATCCCCCGGAGCTTGGTCCCCGGGCCTCATCCTCTGCTCTTCCAGGAAGCTCATCCACCCCCGTGATGACCTTACCAGTGCTCGTTACAAGCTGCGGGCCTGCTGCTCTCTCTCCTGAGGTCCAGACACTATAGACAGTTTCATTTGTAAAAAAAAAATAAAACTAGGATGCTGAAACTTTACTATGGCCCAGTGGTGAAGAATCTGCCCTGCAACGCAGGAGACTCGGGTTAGATTCCTGGGCAGGGAACTTAAGATCCCGCATGCCGAGGAGTAAGCCTGCGAGCCACAGCTACTGCACCTGTAAGGTGCAGATACCAAAGCCCACGCCACAAGCAGACAGTCTGAACGCGGCATCAAAAGATCCTGCATGATACAGCGAAGATCCTGGGTGCCATATCTAAGACCTGATGCAGCCAAATAAATAAATACGTAAAAAAGTAAAACAGGGTGCCGTCCCCACCCCCAGGCTTGAACAGACAAGAGAGGGAGCAGCTGCCAGAACCTGGAGAGAGGTGACTGGAGAGTGCAGCTTGAGGAGCCAGGCTGTCAGTAGAGGGACACAGCCCGCCTGAAAGAGAAAGGCAGCAGGGAAATAACGTCCCCCATTCACTCTCCTCCCCCCTCTGCTCTTCCCCCCCACCGATGGACCCAGCCAGACCAGGGAGCCCGTGGGTGTTGCCCACACAGCATCCTCCCAGGACACAGAGCATAGAGGCAGAGGGCAAAGTGTGGGTCTGGAGAGGCCAACGGGGGATGCCCAGCTCAGGGCTGCTGAGGATGGAGAAGGTCATCGATGCCTGCTGCACGCCCCCCTCTCCATCTTTGGGTCTTCTCGACTTTGGGCAAAAGGGTCTGGGAAGTATCAGCATTCTGGATTCAGAGAGACCAGGATCTGAATTCTAACTCTTCGCCTCCATGACGCTGTTACTTAACCTCCTTACACCCCAGTTTGCTCACCTGTAAGATGAGAACAAGAGCACCTAACTCAAAGCGCCACTGAAGGCGACAGAGATGTCCAGAAAGTGCTGGAAACGTGGGACATGCTCAATGACCTGGTGTCCATTTATCTGGCTCTGTCTGTTCTTTACCTCGTGGCTGGACCTGCACGACTTCTGAGCTGGCCTCTGTTCCCTATCATAGCCCCTTTAGTTCATCCTTTGTGATGTCCCCAAGACCCTTGCCAAAGCATGTCACAACTGTCCTCAGAAAACGGTCGCGGCTCCCCCACGCCCAGAGGATAAAGTTCAAGTCCTCCAGCGCAACAGCCAAAGTCAGTGGGGGCCTGTCCTGATTCTCCGACCCGTCTCGGTCTCCTTGCCCAGGGACATGGGTCTACTCTGTCTTCATTATTCCCAGGGAACCTTTAGGTCTACATGCCTTTTCGGATGCTGTTCTCTCCCCACTTAGCCCTTGGATGTCCCTTCTCCTTCTACCCCGCTGGTGGGACTCACATGCCCCTTCTTGGCAGAAAGCTCCCTCACCCAGTCAAATGGAACCGCTCACGGCACATTCGTATATTCTCACATAGATCTTTTCTCCTCTGCCCCCTAGTAGAAGCAGCTGTGGTATGTCTGACCCTGTGCAGCCAGAGCACTTTTGAATGCAAGCACTGTGGTACCTCATCGGGCTTTCGGTGACCGCTATGCCAGGGGTGCGCTTGCGTTGAGGCGGGCTGTGGGCGGTGAAGACGTTTGCGCATGCGCACTGATCCTAGCGCATCCGCATAGATCCTTAGCGGAACCTCACAATAAGCAGTGGGTGTCGTCATGTTTTTTTAAAGTGATAAGGGAATCGAGGCAAAGCAATTTTCCTTGGAGTTCTTGGCCGGGAAAGAGAACTGGGGTATCTGGGTTCTGAGATCTATGCTTTTCCCACTCCCTATGGAGTTCAAGAAAATGGACCAGTGAATGAATGCATGCATGAATAAATGAATGAAAAGAAGACGGCAACAACACGAGTGAGAGCTAAAAGCGGGAAAGACTTGAGTTCAAGTCCAACACTTCGACCATGGGGCGATTGCTTATCTTCTCCGAGCAGAGAGTAGGTGCTCGGGGGATATTTCTTTCCTGCCCTTCCCAGCCTCCCCTAACACCCTGTCTTTCCTCACGATCTGATTCTGGGCAGCTCTGGGTTCCTCCCCACGGCCTTCCCAGTGGGGAGCAGAGAAGCCCGTGGCTGAGCCTGTCGTGGGGAGGACCGCGGCCCACGGGGGAGCCCAGACAGCTGCTCAAACAGCCCTTCAGCCAGCGTGATGAACATCTCAGGAGGGCTTTTCACCCAGAGCAGGGAGAGGGGCCTGTTAAAACTATTTACATCCCGCCTGCCAGCCCACTGACAGCTTAATCGCAGTGCCTCCTTCCTATGACTTGTATTTGTCAGCCACATTTGCACCCCTTCTCAGGTGGCAGGAAGAGTGACTCCAGGTGGCTCATCTGGATAGCCTGTCTCTCCCAGTGTAGACCGGAGATTTACAAGAAGCTCCAAGGAGCCCACCATGGCTGTTCCCCTGCCGGTGAGCCTCCAGCCCTGGTTGCCAAAGAAACCTTGCAGGAAGGTTCTGGGCAGCTGGGGTGGGTGGGTGTGGGTAGGAGTCTACCACTGGGTCCGTGCTCGCAGCATCTGTGGCCTGGTCTTGGTCTGAGTGTCTGATGGCCGGGCAGTGCCTCGGTAATTGAACAGACTGTCCATTGGCCTCCCCTGTGAGAGAGACCATCGCCTGGGCTATAAATCAACCACTTGAATTCTCATCAGGGACGAGTTTGGCAAGAAGGTTGCTGGCTCCGGTGTAAATTGGATGAGTGGTCGAAGAGCAAGGCTGGTTTTAAATGGTGTCCTGCTCTGAGGCCCAGAAGTGCCTATTCACAGGTCCTAGGTCACCCCGGGGAATGTTCCTGTTACTGATGGAAGATCCTGAGGGAAGTTATTTAATATGTGAGACTTTGGCACTGCCGTTGTTCAAACCTCAAAAGGCACCATAGGCAACTGTAAAGAGATGGGAAATCCAGACCGAAAGATGGATCTATTCTTCCATTCATTCATTCAGTGATTCATCTGCTGACATACTCTGCCCTGACATCTTTGCCTGTCTCACTCCTTCTCAACATTCGGGTCTCAGCCCAAAGGTCACCTCCTCAGAGAGGCTGCCCTGACCACCCAAGGGAGTCCCTCTCTCTCCATGCCACCTGGAAGCTATTACAACTTTGTGTTTCGCTTCTGTCACAGTGCTTTCCAGTAGCTGAAGTTCACTTGTTTGTTTCTTTGCTGGTTTGTTGTCAGCCGTGCCCACTGGAAGTAAAATCCGTGTGAGGAGGGATCTTGCTTTCCTATCCACTGCCATGTCCCCAAGTGGCTGGCACTATGCCTGGTCCACCGTAGCTCCTCGTCCAACATTTGCCAAGACTCCCCCAGTTGCCAGGCCAGTGCTGGGGCTCCACCATGGCCTGGTTGCTGTCCTCAGGGGAGTCCGGCATGGGGGAAAGAGCCCTGTATTAACCATGTGTTTCTGATGCCTTTGACATTTGGGGCCTTGATGACCCTGGAGAGACTCCCCCCCACCACACCCCACCCCAGGGCTAGCCAATTGCTTGCAAGAGTGAACAACTTGCCTAGGAACGCACTTTTCATAAGCAAAGCAGCCAGAGACAAACCTCGTCTGCCGTCTTTATCCCTTGATCAGCCTCTTACTCTCTGGTCACTATCCACCTGTCCTAATCAGCCCGGAGCCAAGTCCTAGATAACTAGGGACAGCCCCCAGGCTCCAGAGTCCGATGGAATCATCCGGTCTAGTCTGCTCTGCCCATTTTGTCCCAGAAATCACAATAAGGGCTCTTGCCCATGTTTTCCTCTCCATCCATCTGCCTCTTGACCAACCCTGGTGCTTCCTCATGTGGCCCCCTATGGCCTGGTGGGCACCTTCCTCTTGGGATCCATGAGTAACAAACTATCTTTTCAGTGGTGATCATCTCCTGACCTGTCAGCCCCCACATACCTGAATGATAATAAAACCTACATTTTAAGACAGGCCAGGAGGGTGAAGGCAGGCCCAAGGTGGGTGGAGGAGGGGCACGTAATCCACTCCTGACTTGTAGCGTCTGCAGGGGCTGGTAGTGGAATTACATCAGCTGGATGGCAGTGGAGGGTGTCAGTGGGTCTTCTAAGCATAGGGCACAACCCAGGCAAAGGCTTGGCCTCTAAGGAGGGGGTAGAATGAACGTGTGCTCAGGTGGCCCCATGTGGCTGGAGCAGAGTTGAGACCTGGTGTAGGATGAGAGCCTCGGAGGACTTGGAATGAGGCCGGGTTTCGCTTCGGGCAGGCGACAAGCCCGTGGGGAGCTGTGGATGGAGCCTATCGGATGCGGGGTCCTGTGGTGCTTCTCCTTCCCTCTGGAGTCTGCTTGGCTGCTACCCTCAGTGCAGGATGAGGTGGTCATGGCCGCTGGCTCCTGCTTGTTCAGCTCCCCCACGCCCCACAGCACCCCCACCCTGCCCCAGCTCTTCGCTGAGTCACAGACAGCTGCTGAGTCACACCTGCCCATATGCTCCCATCTCCCACTCTCCCCACCTCCAGCTCCCAAGGTGGGGGCCGGCGGGCCTGATCTGGCAGCTAGCAGAATCCTCCCTGCACGCGGCACCCAGAAACTCAGATTCCTTCGGATTCTGATTCAATTACTCATTTCCTGAGAGAAACTAAGGTGGGGCTGCCGTGAGGAGCAGGGCCATGCAGCAGGTGTGGACAGCCGTGGACGCCCATCTTTCTTACCAACCATCCTCCTCCCCTACAATCTCCTTGTGGTCCTGGCCTGGGATCTAAGAACAAAGATAGAGGCCCCCTTTGAATGGGCCTGGAGGGAGCACAGAATGCATGGAAGGAGGCCCAGCCCCAAACGAGAAACTCCCACAGCTGAGTGCCTTCGAGCCAAGATCAGGATGGGAGAGGAATCAGACCTCCTGTTTGACTGTCTGAGCCTTGGCTTGGAAGAAAAGAACACAGGATCTCTGGAAAGAGTGCTTATAGCTGCGAACATTTATTGGGCATTTGCCCAGTTTCTTCCTTCTTTCATTCATTCACAGGTTCAACCAGTATTTTTCTACAGCTAGGAGTTTGTCATGTTCTAGGCAACAGGCATACAGCAGGGCACAAACCATCCTCGGCCTCTGTCATCTGGGAGCCTAAATTCTGTCTGGGGAGACAGCCAATAAGTGAACAAGGAAATACAGTGTTTATAATGCTGAATATTAGGGAGCAAAATGAGGGAAGTTAAAAAAGAAGAACATGAAGAGAAGGTTAGGGAAACAAAAGGAAGGGCTTGCGGTGGGGCGGGGGGTAGGGTGTTAGATCCAACAGGGCATGAAGTATACATCTTTCTGCGATCCATCAGTACCTGGAGGAAAAACCAGGTGCTGTGGCAGATAAAGAGAGGACTAACTGAGAGGCGATGACCCCTCCTGAGGGAGCGAATGGCCAGAGCCGCCAAAGGGGGCTGAACAGAGGACTGAGTCCAAGTGAGGTCAGGACCATAACTTGGTGCTGACGGGCAACATGGTGGAAGAAAGGTATGTGATAGGCTTAAGAGCGGCAGGCCTCCACATCAGAGCAGAGCCTGTGGTTAAGAGTGGGGGCCCTGGACCCACGCTGCCCGGATTCCGTTCCAGCTCTACCCCTATAGTGGGCACTGTGGGTTCCCTGCTCTGCACCCTTGACCCTGACTTTTGATTGCATAGGTCTGACTCCCAACTCCTAGCCCCAGCATTGATTCGAATTAGGGCTTTCTCAGACTGGCAAATCACCTTCCACCTGTGCCAGGAATGCCAGGAACTTAATGCCCCCAGAAACAGCCCTCAACTGTGGACTAACAGAAGTTGGTGTATCAATACCCTAGCTCCCTAGAGCGTTTTTCCCAGGGTTTCCCAGAAAGCTTAAGCTACAGTTCCTGCAGTGATGACTTGCTTGCTATGACAGTGTTTACTGCCCGCCTTGCCTTCCCTGTCTCACTTCCCGACTCCCCTACCAGCGTTTCCTGGACGCACTTCCCAGATATACTTCTCATGATGCGGCCTTTACTTGGAGCTGGTTTCTGGGGAAATCAGAATAGGACAGTCAGTTTTTAACCGTAGGGTCTTGGGTGAATTATTTCACCTTTCTATGCTTCAGTTTCCTCATCAATCAAATGGGGATGATGATAATTCATCAAAAGGGTCCTTATGATGAGTAATTGAGCTCATAAACAGAGAATTCAGAGTCTCACATGTAGTAAGTTTTTAGCAAGTGCCTTCCAAGATTATTTTAAAATCAATGAGGTGGATGAGGGAAAGAGACTGGTTGGCTGAGACAAGAGAGAAGAGGGCAGATGTAAGAGAGTTGGCAGGCAAGCAGCGGAGAGATGGAATCAGGACACAGCCAAGTTTGGAGCCTGGAGAGCTGGAGAGAGGCGTGGCACTTACATTAGCTGGCAGCCAGGAAGAGGAGCTGGGTTTGGAGAAAGACTGTGAGTGCAGTTTTAAAGTAAGTGCTGTTGGGAGCCAGACAGCCATGTGCAGACACCTAGCAGGCAGCTGGGACAGTGGGGCTGGATGGGAGAGAGGGCACGCTTCGCAGCCATGTGGGTTTGGGAGTTACTTGGAGGGAAATGAATGCTGTTGCTATGGGAGTTGGGTGGGGAACAGGTAGGCCATGTCAAGCAGAGATGAAGGTGGCAGGGAGGGGAAAGTTGGTGAGGCAAGGTCCTCTGGGGGAGTGGGGAGGTGGGACAGGATGGAAACCAGTTTATGGGGAAAAGCATAGGGGAGGGGAGCTCTTCTTTCTGAGATTCTAAGGCACTGGGTATTTCTGAGATGAATCATGGGAACCTGTATCTTGGGTCTGGTTCCTGGGAAGCAGAGCTTGAAGCAGGGATCCAGTCATATAACTAGTTGGGAAAAGAGAAGGCAAGTGAGGGGAGAGGACCAGGGTAGGGAAGATCTCAGCTGGAGAAGACTCACGTAAGCCTCACCCTATGGAGAATCCTGCAGTATAAGCTAAAGCACTTGGTTGGGCCCAACTTGAGGCAAGGGGACCAGCCTCTTGGATTTACAAATCCATCAACCATTGGCTACTGTTTGGGCCAAGGGTGAGTCTCCAGATTAGGGGACACCTGTGAACCATTAGTAGGTAAATGAGGAATGGGACATGGGCCCCACCAATATCCACAGAAATCTGGCCCGAGTCTCAC